ATCTATAATACCCTTATAAAAATAGTACCTTTGAACTTATATCGACAACATACAATAATATTATCGCTGTTATACCCGTTTCCGATAAAATTACTGTTGCCTGTCGGCAAATGGGGAAAATTGAAACTATATTAATAAAATAATATTAAAAATATTTTAAAACTGGTATATTTGTCGGCAAACTGAGTAGTTGGCGAATTGGGATTCGGCAAAGTGGGTATGAATCGAAAAGTAATTATATAATTAATTAGACTCACAAGTTAACTTAAATTTTGATATACTTCTTAAAACAAATTTTTACCTTTTTTGTGTAACATAAAAAATGAAAAATTAATAATTAATAATAATACATATTTATTTTAAAATTAAATTTTTTTCGCTCATCAGAGTACTTTTTTGGACATTTTTTAGAATTTTTAGGTCATTTTTGCAAATGTTTAGTTCATTTTTGTGCTGTATTTTTTTTGGGTCATTAAAATTCTAGCTCTAGTCATAACTTACTTAAAAATAATAACATCAATAAAATCTTCCGAGATGCTCCACATAATATTCTTGCCTTTACATTTTAGAAGGTATACACCTTATTAATTTTAAAAATTACAGAGTAAAATATATTATTGTAAATGTACAGTTTGTCATGTTGTACGTTTGTAAGACGGACACAAAAAAGTAATAAGTAATAATAACTACAATTTATGTTATTAATAATGGTAATGATCTGAAGACAAAACTGCACCAGTGCGAAGCCGAGTTATTATATTATAAGATACGGTTGATTAATTTTCTTTCTCTATATCTGTGTTTTTCTTTCTGCGCACAGATGTACGATGTGCAGGACAACAAGCAAGACAGAACAAGGATAATACGCATTGCAATTTCCAAAGAAAGAGAAGAAAAACTGGATGTAAGTCAATGTGAAGGACTTGCAAATCTTTTGGGAGAAAAAGAACTTCCATATGTCTCCGAGGGCCAAAGGACTTGGCCCGATGGCTCATTATATTTATATATGATTGGAAGAAATCCTGATACCTGGCCATATAAACCAAATGAGGTATACCTTATCACAACCTTATAACATGTTTTAATTTTAATACAGGTAATTTAATATTATTTTGTTAACATGTCTTAAATACCCGAAAGTATAATAGTTGTTTTGAAATATTTAAAAATTTGAAGATCTCACTCTTTAAACAGAATATTTAAACCAATTTTTTTCTTTCTTTTGAAATTTAGATTCTAAGCGGCTTACACAGTAGTTCATAATACCTACATAGATTTTACATCGATAAATTTTTTTTCGGTTTCAAAGCACTTCAATCTTCAACTATGAGTGGGTTTCAGGAAGATAATTTGATCCAGTTGGTATTTTGGCGAGAGGAGAGTCAAAAATAAAAAATCCCATTTACTTTTAAAAATAATTTGAAAAGACAATTATTTTTAAGCGAAACAGTTATCTACAAAAAAAAAAAAAATGTTGATTTAAGAGACAAAGGCTTAAATTATCGGTTGATGACATCGATTATTCATTCGTATAAGAACGATTTATCCTCATATACGGTTCTTGTCATTAAGTTCTTATCCAACAAATTTAACGTATCTATTACTTTAATAGGTGTGTTAAATTTTAAATTTTAAACTTTAGTCTCTTAAACCAAAATCGATTTTGAAGATAACTGTTTCGAGTAAAAATGATTGTTTTTCCTAATTATTTTAAAAATGATATGGACTTTTTTTATTTTTGACTCCCTCTGACCAAAATACCAACTGAATCAAGTGATCTTTTAGAAACCCGCTCATAGTTGAAGATCGAAGTAATTCGATACAAAAAAAAAACAAATACAAAAATGCATCGTTGTAAAATCAATATATTATTATAAATTATGTAAATATCTCCGCTTAGAATCTAAATTTTAAAAGAAAAAAAATTAAAATAAATATTCCGTCAACAAACAGACTACATCTTCAAATTTTTAAATATTTCAAAACAATTATTATATTATTAGGTAGTTAAGAAATGTTAACAAAATAATATTAAACTACCGATAATAACTTAACAACAAATTAAGTTATTATTCATCAAATGTATCATAATATTATCTTATTAAAGTAGTCAATGACAAGGTACACGAGACACTTTCCACACAGCAGATGGAATTCTCTGATTTGTTTTAATGATGATAAACAATAATGTAGTTACATCATTCAATTATTAGCTTTGTTGGGCCAATAACAAAGAATTAAGAATTATTGTGTTTTTTATGGAATTGTGATGCATTCTCTACTTAGAAATATAAATTTTCAATGTTCAAATATTAATTTTATGCAATATAATATTTACAGGTGAATGATCAAATAAGAAAAGTTCCATACGAGTAGATGTACCTACGAATGCAGGTACCTTGGCGGTTACCTGCATTGTTCAATTTAACAGCTTAATTTAATAGTTTTTTGGTTCACCTTTAAGGTTTTTTTTTCTTTATTATCAAGGTCATTATTTAATATTATAATTTTTGCTTTAAACATTTTTTTTTTTTTTGTCTTCAAATATTATGTTCATTATATTATTTTTATCAAATAACTGCTAGTATTAATAATAAAAGTATTATAATTTAACAGTGAACTTTTCACATGTGTCCAATACCTTATAAGTATACTCAGTTGTAATCTGTGTGCAGGCACCTTATATTTTAAAATGTCCAAAACGGATTTTGGTTTGTTAGTATTTCATTTTCTAAGCGAAGAATAAACATATAATAGAACTATATTTTAGATATCGATTTATATCGAGCCCCCGATTGCGATTTTTTCCAGCATCAATAACAATTTAATAATAATATTAATTTAATTTACTGTCTAACATATTAATAATAAGTAATAACAAAATAAAATATCCTAGACAGATATACTGTCTCCGCTCAGAATCGTTTTTTGTACACAGATTTATGATATCATTGAATTTAAATTTAATACCATCCATTACAGTGACCTCTTAGACGCCTTCCTAATGTACGTCAGAGTGACTTCCACTTACACCCTTTTTTATATTATTAATCAATCAAGACTTTTTTAAGAAAAAAAGCTAAATTAGGATAACTACTAACTTTTAACTTTTAAAAATATTTTCTAAAAACTTATCTTATTTCAATTTAAAATTGTCATTTACTTGCCCAGGCTTGTTATTTTTAATTTTTCCTGGTAATTTAATGTACATTTTTGAATGGATATATGAGTATGTGCCTCGTGTAAATTGTGTGTTCATGACTGGTCCTTCGATATTAAATGTTTATCTTGTAGGTATTTTATCCATGATTAGTGTTAAAAGTGAGACTATTATTAGTTATTTAACTTTTAACTTTAACTTTAACATTTAACTCGTTAATTCTCAGCCTTAAATATAACAATAGATTAATATACAACTATAAATATTTATAATTTAAGATGTATTTCTGAATGATGAAAATTATGATAAATATTAAATAATATATAATCATAAATGCACAAAATATACCTATTTAAGTATCGTATGTAGGTATTAGTTGTATGATTTTGCATCTAGCCTAATATATCTAATAATATATTTTTATTGTGACACATTATCATAGCAACGTTGTATTGTTACGACTGAAGGAAAAAATACAAACACATTTTTTTTATTTCTACCTACACTTAATATTTGAAAATTGAGAGTAGAAAATCACTAAGCTATAGAATCACACAAAGTTTGACAGTGTAACACTAACGCCCAAAACCAGAAACACTTTTAAACACACGAACGAAGCGATGAGCAAAAAAGGTGTGGATGTGTGCATATCAGCCCAGTGCTGTTGCAAACTGATAATGGCATGTCCTGAAAAACCAGCCCCCGTGGCAGTTGTGAAACCACCCAATTCTTCCTGCGAACGTGCGAAAACCCACGAAATGAGTCTATGCGATTTCTTAAAATCACAGTCGGCGCCGGACTTTATAAAAAACCTGCAGGAAAATCGTGCTGAGGCGAAAAGTCCAAGGGTTTTGCCACGTGGCCCGGTAAGGCCGGCTGCGGCAAAAGCTCGTATTTGCAGTGAACAGCCGCCAACCACCGACCGCGGAGTGAAGCAACCTCTGCAAAACTGTCAACAGGATATCAAGCAGGATTCGATCCAACCCGCGTCCGCCGTCCATGAAGATCGTAATATTTCACAGATCATCATCAACATCGGGACTATAATAACTCACGGAGTCTGCAAGCACAATGCATGTCAGCAGACCGAACCGGAAGTAAAGACCTCCGTCTGTCCGCCAGCCAAACTTCCGACCAGTGTCTGTCCACCGGTCAAGCGTCCGACCTCCATCTGTCCGCCAGCCGAAAAACCAACCACTTGCTGTCCACCAGTTGAACGTCCGAAATCCATATGTCCACCAGCAGAAAAACCGACTTCTGTCTGTCCACCAGCAGAAAAACCGACTTCTGTCTGTCCACCGGCTGAACGTCCAATCGCCGTCATTGGCCCCAAAGCCCGTCCATCCGTGGATAGGCCTGTTCCAGTGTCACGGGACCGTTCCTGTCGTAGCAACGCACCGGTTTCTATTCCAATCACAGAACAGAAACCTTGTCCAGAACCCACAATTAATTTTAAAATGAACTGTTGTTGTACCTGTCACGTATAACTTACCATAGAAAAACAATACAGAGGATCATGAAATTATACGTTTTTAACTAAATTATAATACAATCAATATCCGATCTAAAGTATCGGTGATCTCCAAGTCCGAGGACTTTCGAACGTTGTTGGTCGTATTAAAAAACAATCTCAAAATTATTAGACAATATTTCAAATATGGATTTTAAGGGGGTGGCGAAGGAAATTATTAAACTGAGGCCCTTATATGAGGATGCAAAATCGGAATATTATTCATTCGATTTTACCCGTGAGCATTTCGTCGATGAAACCAATATCAATGACTCGTAAGCATATTATTTGTAAGCTTGCAATTTAAAAAAACTTATAATCATTATCATTTACCAACTTTTGATTTTATATATTAGATACCTAATATGATGACAAAAGGTTTAGATTCGGCAATAATATTTTTATTTGTGAATCAATTCGTAATAAAATAAAATAACTTATAAAAAATTATTGATATGTGGAATTCTGTATGTACTTAGTAAAGACTACATGCAGATGATTCCACCGTAGTATTAAAACATTGACACAAAAATAACTCAAAAGTAAACATTCATATTATGAAAAACCAAAAAATAACTTTTTGAAACTACATCACCAATATCAAACAAATTTGATTTTGATTATAAGGTTCAAGGTTGTGATTAAAATTTACATTATGACACATTGTTAGTAGTTACTAACAAAATATATGTAGGTAGGGCGTTTAGATAGTACCTAGCTACCTTTGAGGTTATTCATTTTTATGAAACGGTTTTCGTAATTATTTTAAAATATGAACATATTATATACCTTTGCATATTGTAATAATAATAAGTATCAGATATAATTTGATTTGCATGCAATTTTATGTTCATCAAGATTATTTATTTCAACATCAACAAGACAACAAAACATGTAATATAATATATATTCAACACTACCAATGGAAATGTACACTTTAATGGTAGTTGATGTGTGAAAAATAGTTACTGGGCCTTCAGGTTTTTACGGTTCCAATCCCAGTTATGCAGTTGAGGTAATTAATTATTTCATTAATGGGATCAGGTACAGGTTTAAGTTTTTAGAACATTTAATTTAAGAGTTCCGGTTCCTATATAACATCTCTAAAAGTAACATTATAGCCAATAAACTGAGTACAATAATTATTGTCAAACACTCATTTTAATTATCATCTAATAAGATAATATAACATGAAGTTACCTACTATTCAAGTTAAGTGAATCACATGTAAAATACATATTTAGTAAAATGATGCAAAAAGAGGTGTAAATATTACTTTTAAAACAGTATATCATAATGTTTTCTAGCCATCACCTTATTAGTAACTTTACTTACGAATAAATAGTTATGAAAGTACCTATAGTAATTCACCCAATATAATTAACTTCACTTTAATTTACAGTATCATGTCTATCTAATCTATCTAATTTGTCATTTGATAATTTAGCTGATTAATCATGTCAATACTAAATAATTGGACTACGAAATATTTTTTGATTTTTAAATAATAATAGTTACACAAGTCCCTTATATTATCGAAAAACCTAATCTAAAAAATAATTTTTACTACTTACCTACTTAAAATTGTAAATAGTTCATTTTCAACTTAAAATAAAAATATTTATAATATAAATATGTGGAACATAAAAATAAATTAAATTAATATTGCAATCGTTAAGCTAAATTAAATGGGGGTAAATACTACAAATAGGTATAAGTATAGGTAGTAGGCATAATCACATAAATATGCCATTTCCAAGTTAAACTACCTGCAATAATTTTTTTTTTTCATAGTATATATACATATATTCTATATACATTTTCATTGTACTAATTGATTATACTATTACATTTATTTTATTATTTATATTTTTAAGTTTTGCAAAATAATACTGTAGATATATTAATTATTCAAAACAAAATTCATTTATTTATTTTGAAAACACTTATTCTTAAAGAAAATTATTAAAAGACACATTTATTAATTTTATTTTTCTTTCAGTAGTCCCTAAACAGTTCAATAGATATAATAGGCCATACGGCTACCTATATTAAAATATAATACAAAACACGTGACATACGTAACTCGTAAAAAAAAAATCCTCAATTAATAACTTAATTACTTTGGTTGGATGGATTTTAATTTTAAAAACAGATTTTAATTCACTAATACGTGTACTATATTTCAATTTTAATATTTTTCACACATTTTTAAGACATCAAAATAACTTTATCTCAGTTTGCACATATATTTCTGCTTAAGAGACTCTTCAATAATTGTAATACAATAAATATTATATTATATTAATATTTTTTAATATTTTAAACACGAAAGCTAACATTTTTTATAATAATTGATGACAGATAAATAGAACGGTTAATTGTTATATTAATACATCCCTCTATAATTTTAATGGAATATTCAACTCAAATAAATTAGTTAAATCAATAATGGGCTCATTTACATTCAACATTTTAAATTTATAATTTGGTAGGTACGTCAAATGAATTTGAAACAATAAATTATTTCAGTGTACGAATATTAAATATTAAATAAATTTAGTGTTAGAATTAAAAATGTAGTTATTGTATGTATTTATTTATTTTTCATATTATATTATTGGGTATACAAACATGGCAACATATTTAAATTTAAGTTCCTGTAAAAATAAAAATATATTTAAATATTATTTGTATATATTCTTAAAAACAATAGTAAGTGCCTTATGTTAAGATAGGTTATCATGTATAATTTATAAGCAGTGCACGACAGTAGGTCTCATAATACTATGTTATTATAAAGTAAAGTAAAGGTAAAGTATTACCTGTAGATATCTGCGTCATATCATATCGACCAGTTGCAATAATATAACTTTATAAGCCATTATTAATTAATTATTTATTTATTTCTATTAAGACGTATTTTTAATATTAAATCCCAATAATATGAAATGATTTTTATAATTAGCTAGTATTTTTGGTTTAAGAGTTTTGCCAAATAGTTATTATATTTATTTAAATATTTAAATTTACGATAAAACGTTTTTCTACACTTTGTGTCATAGTATAATATATTAAGGTTGTCGAACTAGGTTATTTGAAAATTAATTCAATCGTCAGTAGGTATAGTTGTAGTTGTATAATAATGTAGTTTTAAAATAATTATTTTATTTTATTTTATAAAAACAAGTATATAATTTGTGTACAACAAATATCGTTTAAATCTGAAATAAATAATTTTAAATACATTTTAGGTAGGTAGGTTATAATACAGTACTATATGAGTATTATTTTATGATATTATCTATTCAAAAGATAAGTATAATAAGTTATTTGAGATCCTAATTTAATAATTTATTTTAAACATTATAATGATGTCCTGCAATGCAACATATTATACGATTTTTATGCTAGAAAGTCTTGTACGATATTTCGACAATTCTATTTAATTTTTTTACTGGAGGTGCCTAACTTTTTATTATACTAATATCTTCTAACGAAATAAATTAAGAGGACGACACACCCACTTTACAAATAGTTTTATTGAGGCAATTTTAATTTCATTTTGAGAAAGTTAAAATTGTAAGTCAAATATATTTCAATATTAATTCTAAGTAAGTTAGTTGGTATAGGTTCCCTACCTTTGTTAAATTACTGGTTCTTGAATAATAACTTTATAATAAGAAAATATTATAGAAAAACGGTTCATAACGAAAAAAAATAACTTAAGCTTTAAGCAACAGTTCATAATGTTTATATAGTAACCAAGTTTCCAGACAATAAAGAAGATTGAAGACTTTAATATGTTCTGAGTTTTTGTTAATTTTTATTGTTTTCATTAACAAAAAAGTTATTATTTCTTTAAAATCTGTTATTTATATGTTTTTGAAACTGATGTTATTGATGACATCAAACAAATAAAAAACATTATGATAATAAATATTGTTTTATGTAACATGAATAAATGTGATTTCTCAGCTACGACTTTAATCTGTAGTCAAACTGAGTAGTTCTTTTTAATTTAAAACAGGTTTTACAAATAATTTTTACTAACGGGATAAAGTGTGGTGTCCTCTTAAATAATAACAAAATCGCCGAACGTGTATAACTCCAACATGAGACAAATTTATTTTTATTGTATACAATAATTGATAAAATAATATTATGTTTAAGAATTGGATATGATAAAGATTAAAAAATACATGTTTTAATTATTTCTATTACAATATGAGTCTAGTCAGTAATTGTATTAAAATGTATCAATATAATTATTATGAAATATTCAAACAATAAATTATAGTATTAATATTATATTATATTTTTGTGACTAGATTTTCCTATCTATAAACTAAATAATAGTTTATCGTATGCATGGCAGTACGTATAGCTAAATTAATACATATTATAAAGTATAAACTAATTAGGTGCTAGTTAAAATAAAATACATTTTTAACTTAATAAGCCATCCATCATTATTTACACGAACTTAGTTGTACCTGCCGTTATATATAAAGAAAACGTAAGCAATTGTTAAATTTAAATGATACATGTGTTTATAGTGTGAGAAATATTGGTACTCTACATTATAATATTATTCATTGAAAAGTGGCTAACAATAATTAGTCTGGTTATTTGAACACAAAATCATTATGCTTAATGTAAGTATATTATGTTACAAAGATGTGCATTCATGTACAAAATATTATGTTTTTCAAACGTCCGTCTACTTCATACAGACAGGTCAAAAATATAAAATCGATTTGTTTTTATAACAACTATGATAATATAATTTAATATATAATATTGTTATTGTGTGTAATGTATATAATATAATATGTTTTAATAATAATGTATGAAAATCACATTATACAACGCAACGACGTATTGTTTACGTTTAACTTTTCCACTCATTAATATTGTTTACATCTTATTATATTTGTATTTTTTGCTATAAAAGCGGTCATCGGTGTAACATGTTAAGACTGTGGAGAATCTGGTGAAGCGTTGGGTGAAGCCAATGAAGGTTTAATGGGATACATCGAAGCCTGTAGATCAAAACCTGGTGGCATTGTCATTGTTCCTTGAGCCTAAAAATTAGAATAAGTTACAAATAAGGAAATTAAAATGAAACTGAATCATAAAAATTAAACGACAAGAAACGTCGTAAGTGCATTCAGGTAGTTTATATCTGTAATAATAAACTGATGCAAGATTTACAATAATATTTTTCTCAAGTATACCTGTATGTAAGTGATCAGTCTTCTTAATTCTTCTAGAGCGTTTGCTTGCATTAAAATGTAATTTTTTGCCAATAAAAGCGTAGCAATTTTCGACAATTTCCTTACGGACGGCGAGTGAGCATATGGTATGACGCTTCTGAGTTCGTCTAGCGCATCGTTCAAGTCGTGCATCCTTCTCCTCTCCCGGGCGTTGATATTCAACCGGACGGACTTGCCTTGCTTGGACTTGGACTTTCCTCCCACACCGGACATTGTCGAAGTACCTTGACCATTGTTAGGTATTCTAAATGTAAAAAAAAAACAAAAAAACATGGTGTTATAAATAGTAAATATATGAGTATGCCTAAGTAGTATATTATACTTGTATATGTTCGCAGAACTATTTTTACCGGGTAACTGATCAGTTGTAATGGACATTTTCAAATGCTCTACCGTGTACAGCATAATCATCAGAGGATTTTTCAAAAAAGTATAATATGTATGTTTATATCACTTATTTTACGGAGATATCTATTATCTCATAGTTGTCAGTGGATATTTTCACTTTATAATTCCAGTAACGAAAGCACCTAATTATAATTTTAAGTTGTCCATTGTTTTATTCTTTACATTACTGTCATTGAACAATAATTGGTTTTTAACGTACTGTTACTCTTTTAGTATTACACGGCAGAGCATATGGAAAGGTCTGGTTAAACTGATGATATCTCCATGTGAAAAACATGCAAATGTAGTATATTTACTTATTTATTTTAATTTTTATTCAGATGTTATATACTTATACCTAAATAGCTAAATGGATAAACGCAGTTCTCATAACAGTCATACAAATCAAATTATATCTTTATTCCGTCACAAATAAAACGAATTCAAACTATGCAATTTCTTATATTTTCTGAAAATATATTTTTCAGGCACCCACATGAAGATGACAACATTTCGATATTAAAACAAGTTTCTTTCATACTTAAGACTTACAACTTACATGTAGTAGGTGACGTTATTATAATTTGTTTGTTTTTATATTAAATAATTAAAATGGGTACTCGTCCAATTTGCTATCTACCATAATTTTATGATAGTTAAGTATGATATCTACAATAAATATTGTATTTACTGTATACTCTCATAGTATAACCAATTATATCAAATGAAGTTGATCAAGGTCTACCTACCATATATTCTGATAAATGGAGTGCGTACTCTAGTTTAAATGAACAAGAGTTTATCCATAAAATGGTTAATCTTTCGGATATTTTCATTTAACTATTTAAGTACCCAATAACTGGTGCTGAAACATAAACTATAGAAACTTTTCGGATACACGTCAAAAATAAACACAACATTAAAACACTCGGAGTGACTAACATATATTATTACTATCCCATCTTCAAGAAGAGCGGTGGCGCTTGTTACAAAAACCAACCGAAGACCTGTTCGAATCATTCCACTGATCGGTCAGAAATTCATATACATATAACTACATTGCACCACATGAAAAAAAGTGACAAAGTAGAAATACTGCATTCTAAAGGTAAGACAATTGACATTTGTAGATAGTACACACGTGTTGATATACTAAACCAACATAAAATGACGGTAGATTAAATATTAACGGTAAATAGCATATTAGACGAGTACCAAAAAATGTCTTAAATCAAATTTTCAATAATTGACGAGTAATGAATTAAACAAAATGGATTGAATAGACTGAATGTTCATGGCAAATTATGTACGGTGGGTACAGAAAGTAATGCATATTGCATTATATCTACAATCTACATGTAGGACTATACTTATAGGTATAGGTACTGAGGTACTGCTGATTATTCCTGTAGGAACTTACATAGTTCATTACTATGTTACCGTTCACCTGATACGTTTCGTGTGGGAACTTATGAAACACCTCCTATATATGGATTTGCTTACCTGTTGTCAGAACCATTATTGAATTGTTGGCAAGCCGGGCCCGGGCTATTTTCGTCAGAGGCCACGGACGACGGTTGAGGGAAATAATATCCTCCCAGTCCAACGGCGCTCAGAGGAGTCCGTCGGCCGGGTACTTGGTTAGATTCGCATGCGAAGTACGTGCCGTTGGTTTCTAAAGAACTAGAAGTAAAATCCATGGTCCTATAAAATGAAAAAAGGCGTTTCTCATAATATTGTAAAAAGTTGACTGCAACTATACACTGTATACTTCTACTGCTATTATTGTAAGTCCTGTGGTCTTACTAATAAGTGTCAACTGTATAGATATTAAGATGGAGACACTTTGAAAAGGTCAATTGAATTAGCTTATCACAACAAAAATAATCTACTGTTTATTCGTATCAATGTATCATACTGATTATGACGTGTATTAACTATACATAATTATTATATTTAAATAAAAATATTAAATCAAACTTATTGAATATTACTTAATATTATATATATAAATATATATATATATTAGGTACATATACGTAAAACGGTGTCACTAATCGGGGTGTTAGGACTGGTATGTACTAAGTATAAAATTAAGATTATCTTAGTATTATGCGGTTTATTGTTGAAAACAAATATATCAAATTTAAAATTAAAATCACAAATGTTTCAAAATTATTTATTTATAATTTATATACATATATATTATGTAGCTTATGTATACCTAGCTAATAATTAAAGATGCTTAAAAATCATTACTTTAAAAATATTATGTTCAATAATCAATAGAAACAAAACATAAATGTTTATTAAAATATTTATAAGAAAACACTGTAGAATTTTAAATCTGAAGTTTGAAAGGAGACAAAAGTTCTAAATAAAAAATCATAATTACTTCATCACATCACAATTCTATCAAAATAATATTAACTTAGTAGGTATGCAATAAATATACCTATATAGTTAATCAAAACGACAAAATAATATTTTACACAGAGTTTTTCAATTTCTAATCAAACTAAAATCATTGCACTAATGGAGCATGTTAAAATCTATAATCATTATTGATGATATCATATACCTACACGAATTCCACTGCTATTGGAACCTATCATATACATGCAATAGTCATTATATAAAGTAGGTTCACACTAATCTCTAATATAAAAAAAGTTGTTATCCTTATAATTTAATACTATTGGAGTGCAGCTAAGTGAGAACCAAATACGATGGCCCCATTATGAGCTATAATGATGCTCTGTAGTTCAGTGAATGCTATGTAAATATAAGCAAGTAGGTAATCGTCTTGAAGAATTCTTAGACAATGTCACAGTTTTTCAATTTAAATATAATATTATGTACTATTTTATTGTCTACGTATATTTTCTACGTATAACAAACGACCAGCGTCATTTTAAATATTATGGGAGATAGTAGAAAATATATGATTTTAATGAAAACAAACTATAAAATCCTTACGGAGTCCACGGGAAACAGCTTTTTCATTTGTTGACAAACGGTGGTTGTGGCGGCAGCGGCGGAGAGGCTGCAGCGAAAACGATATCCCTGTACAAACATATAGTATATATATCACAACAACAATCATGACTGTAAAAAATAATATATTATCGACTACCATAATATATATATATATATGTTTATAATAATGACGACGTTGATCGATTATTAGAACATAATAAAATATATTATGATGTTTGTACATATTATTTGTATCTACTTCGGATTGCAACTAGTGTTCAATATTATTCACACCGTCTACGTACCTCGTATGTGATATGCGACGACAGAAATAATTAAATATTCACGCGCGCTCGTCGTCGTACGATGTTCGGAGCGGACCGGCGGCGGCGGCGATGACGACGTCTCTCCCGGCTGTGATCACGCGGCGGCGGTGGTGGCGAGATGAAGCGGGACAAAGCGCGCGCCCCGTGTGTATGTGTGCGACCGTGTAAGCGTGCTTGCGCGTGTGTGTGACAGTGCGTAATGTTTTGGGACTCGCGTAAAAGTCGATAACGGGTGTCATGGACCACCACCGCACCGCGACTGCACCGCACCGCGACGACCGAAAACTCGTCCGGTTCTGCGGATTTGGAAAACCGAATAAAGCGCGGCGGTGGTGGCGATAAAGCCCTCGCAGTCCACTCTCCCATCCATCCCTCACCCTCTCCGGCGCCGTCCGCCGCCCTTAGCCGTCACCACCCTCCGCCGCCGCGGCAAACGACTCGGTCACCCCGCACGATCGCTCGGCGGCGAGCTAGTAATCAGAAATCCGTGATTTTCAAAGGGATGACAGATGGTGCGGCGGCGGCGGCGGCGGCGGCGGCAGAGGGGAGATCCCGGACGGCTCGGCGGCGACGAGCGTCGTTACCGTGGTAACCCCGCCGCGCCCGGCGCACGAGTTATCGACACCCTTTTTTTGGCGGCCTTTACCGTGGTGCTTTTGCTAACAGTACCACCGCCGTCGCTGCCGTTGTATAATAATACATTATGTGTACTCGCCCGCCCACTCGACTATCATCCACCCACCAACCCCTCGAGCGAGCAGTGCCGAGGCTGAGCCTCTGCACCGACGGAACACCGCCACCGATCCCCTTTATATTTATTATTATTATTATTATTTTTTTTTTGTTTCGTTTTGTTTTCCGTTCTCTTCTGCGCCACCGCCGTTATACCATCATCATTATTTTTCGGTAAGACTTCGCGTGAACGTCGATAAAACGCGCACACCAATCTGCAATTGTTGTTATTGTATATGTTATGTAAATATATAATATACGCACATTTATATTATTTACCTATATTTTACGTACATACATGCATACATACATACATACATTTATACTATGATGTATAATAGGTGATCTATTTAATTATGGCTGCATTAATTTTTTGTCGGTTTTTTTTTTGTGTTTGATTATAATTGTTATTGTTTTTATTTTTGATGTATATTTTAAAATACTACATTTTTACGAAAATTTATTAGTCATGTCATTATGTATAGATCAGAAGAAATGAACACAACCCATTCAGCAAACCTCTTGCCAATATTTACTCCACTCATCAACATTATATGTTTATTTATAATATAAACTCCTTCAATATTTTTTATTTATTCATCAACTTTAAAAAAAAAAAATACTATGCCTATGATATTGAAATTTAAAGTGTAATTTCTTGTTCAAAATATTAAGAAATCACTGTGATACCTACCAGTTAAAAATTAAATTATCTCGTAAATGTACAGTGTAGGCATAACTTATAAGTTAACAAGTTATCATATTACAACTATACAATTACTTAAAGTTAAAATGTACATTTTTTTTCAGAAACTACATAATATAATTATTTTAGCAGTGTATAAGTAAATTACCCAGTAGGTATCCGCGGCAGGTCTTAAGCGCCAAACTGTCAAATGTTGTTAATTTATTATGTAAACCTATCGTACTTATTGCTGGCTATATATAGTAGGGACACCACTAGGCCACTTACTTTATGAAGATCCCGAATAAGGTACACTTAACTATACAATCAATGTACAATAATATTGTTATTTCCATTTTATGCCCACTCCGACCAACTAGTTGTACTGCTTGATTTTAGTCAAATTCCAAAAACGTATTCGCAGAGAATTTGCACATTTTTTGAAGCGAACAAATATTGTTTAAAAACGGTTCCACCTTGGAACCACCTTGAAATCTACTGATAAAAAAGTGAATTTATAAAGCTGTGCTGGCAGCGTGATTAAAATATTAATAAAACGCCGGCAACTGTCAATAAAAAATAGACAGTAAAATGATTGTCTGTTACCTTAGTATATGAATCAATAATAAATAATAGAAGGCTGCTATGAAATTGTAGAAACAATTACAGAAAACAATTGTTACGTTTTCAGAGTTTTAGTAACTGACTATCTACTGGTCATAAACTACAATAATATTTATGTAATTAGAAACAAAAATGTATACATGATGTGCATTTGAAAATTGTATTCGAAATAAACTTTATAAAAATATAGTAATACTTGTCTACTTTAATTGTATAAAAGTTTTATTTCTTAAAAATTCCATCCAATGTTATATTATTACAAGTAACCTACGTGTTGGTATTTTATTAGAGTATAAATAATAATAGAAAATAATTTTTATTTTATATGAGATAAAAAATATTTGAAAAGGTATTATAAATGACAGATGTCACTCGCGTCCTTATGCAGTAACGAGACAATACCTATCTAATATTATGTTATTTTAGTGACTTAAAAAGGTAGATTTTATTCAACCCATATCAGCACATTGGGACGCAAATAGAACCTTTTTAAACCTTTTTTGTCCGTTTACAAAACTAATATAGGTATTAACCTACTGATAACAATCTGTGACGTATGCATCATTCAAAAACAGACGCGTAGACAACATATTTTCGGTAACTCAATTTCACTGTATTACATTTTGCAAATAAGAATAACAGACACAAACACATGCAGCTATAGGCTATACCACTATAATATATATATATATATATAATTTAAAAATTAAACAATCTGGTAATCAACATACCCAGAGTAATTTGCCTACTGCAGTGATGTATTTACACCGTATACAACAATAATTAATTCCCCATGGATACAGATTAGCAAAAAATAAATACAAAATTTTAACTTAATCAATTTAATAAGCGTATTAAAAGTTTCAAAAACTTAAAATTCAGAGCAGACCAATGAATAAAAAAATATTGATTTTAAGATGATATGTTGGTTTTATTCACATTACAAAATATTGTCCGACAATAAGTCGAAATAATACTTCAATTTTCAACTTCAGTTACTTTTCCTGGTGGTTAATTATATCTAATTGTTGCGACCGGTTAGGTTAGGTTAGGTAGGTCAAAATTGAAAATTCACGATAGTTTTCAAAAGCGTCGATAATTGTTTATATGATAATTTTCCATAGTTGATAAAATTTTAAATATATTTTGACTCTTTGAGCTATTTTTAGACACAAGGCAATTTCAATTTGCATTAGTTTCATTAAAATAATGCAATAATGTTCAATGTATGTAATGATGTATGTATTATGTGTTCATTACTCATTTCAGTTTAGTATACACTATAATTTTTGTAGTAATTGCATACCTATACAATTACACAAATATTTCAAAGAGTAATATAATATATAAGTATACGTAATAAATAAATATGAAAATGAGATATTTGATATCAATGGTTTAGGCCGTTTAGGGAACTACTCAACCGATAGTATTGAATTTTTTTAAAAAATGATAAAGTATATAGCAAAGTCTGTTTTATGCGCAATAGACTCAGCTCATGTCCACGTATTATTGAGAGATAAAACATAATAAACTGGTGGTGCCATCTACGCAGTAAAATAAAATTAGAGATACATCCTCACATGCACTTTTTCTAACGTTTTCCCTGTCGATGTGGGTTAAAACGCTTAAAAAGTCTAGATATATTATATTAACTTAGGTATCTAACTATGGTATTTGGACTTAAATGTATTTTCAGAGAATTTTAAAATATTGACTCTGAAAATCTATAGAAATAATTTACAATTTGAACGTATACTAAAACCAAGATACACAGATATCACCTCATGCATTTTTAATTTCCGATTTTACAACTAGAGTATAGGTACATCGCGGAGAAGAATTTAATATTTTTTTTAACCCCTTTAGGTAAAAAGGGTACATATACCATACACTATTACATATATTTGTACACAGGATACAGGTGCATGTATATATATAATATTATATATATAAATAATGTATTAGGGATACATTTATTTAAACATTCATTATATATACTTTTTAACTTTTTATGATATGAATCACAAATAATACTGTGCAGTTTCACAAATATTATGTCAGAGTACCTACTGTTCAGTATTTTATCTTCCAGTTAAATGTCCTTCATATTTTTTCATTATTGCTAACAATTAATATTATATATATACCTATCTAGCAGATATCTTTGTATCAATAACTTAATATCATAATATCCTATACCTTATTTAAAATGAATACAATTGTAATAATTAAAACATGTTCCATAATGTGTTTCAAGTGGCAGAAAAATGTAAAAACCAAACTTACTATATCATTCTAAATTAAAATTATATTATTTATAAAATAATTTTTTTATTTGATTTAAAGTGTTTTAATTTTGATCTCAAGTACCTCCCAATATAATTAGAATACAATTTAAATTTATTTGCAAAGTAAATGTTGTTATTTTCATTTATTTCATAAATTATTGACTGAACAATGAGCAGTTGTAGTTACTTAAAATAATCATGAAATATTTAACTACCATTTTCTAGTCATGAATATTCAATGAGCATTTTAATGATTCTGTATTAACTTATTGACTCAAAATTGAATAACAATAATACATGACATAAATATATATTATATATTATACTATTAAAGTAATTAAATATAAATAATAAAATAAATGCTACAATGTTTCTAGCAAAAATTAAATCCAATCTTCCTTAACACCTATCTACCTACTAATATAGTAAAATAAATTACTATGATAACAATATAATAATTATATCATACAAATTTAATATACTTAGTAATAATATAGAATGACAGACTTTAGACGGTCTTCGTTGAGGTTATTGTTTTTCTATACAATTTTCTTTACTAAACAGCATTTTCAAAACATTTTGACTCATTTTGACTCATATTGAATATTTAGAGACATTTAAAATTTAAAATTTTAGATTCTGATTAGAGCGATGTATGTATTGATCTTACAATGATGTGTGTTTTTATATTAATTTTTATTTTTTTTATGTCTGTCATCACGGTGTGAAATAACTAAAACTAAAAGTGCTTCGATTTTTTTCAACACCAAATTTTTTCGTCATTGGAAACTGGAAACTTATTATATTATTATTTATTGTAAAAAATCAAGTTTTTAAAATAGGTATTTAGACTTGTTTTAAGGTATTCGAACATTTCACACCATTAACCAACTAACACCGTTCAATGTATTATTTAATTTAGACAGTGTTGAAATATGCTAGGGGATAAGCTTGTTCATTCT